ATTAAGATCTATTAATTCATCTTGTTAATAAACTGAATATTATATCTGTCTTGAAATTACATATTGGAATTGGACTATATTCTAGCTAGTTACAACAAGAATACTATTATTATCTACCTTTAGATTAACTTGAAAATAATAGTAGAAATATTCTTATCAATAAACCTTTTAAAGACTCTCTCAAATATCACTTCAAGCACGTAGTTGCTTTTATCACGTGCTTTTATAATATTAGATTTAATACTCACTCTCATCTCAGAACTCACACCAAAAAGATAACACTATAGCTAAGAGTATAAGATATAAGTGAAGATATAGTTTTATATATCAAAGATATTTATATATTATTTTAAAACATTGATCTTATATATATTTATCTAAATATTTATTATATAGAGTAATTTGTAAAAGACTTAAAATCTAAGATTATCTTTTATATAAATAGATTTAATTCTAATAATTTAAATATAATAATTATAAAAATAATTAATATCAAATCAAACTATAGATAAACTTTCTGAACTTTATATTTTTTATATTATAAAATCTTGATATTTTATTTATCTCTTTAAATCAGATATTATATAAATAAAGCTATAATTAATTTAATTAAACAAGTAAAAAAAGTTATCTATTCAGAATAATTAAAGTTTTAATATTTATTCTAATAATAATAAGACTTATTATAATTATAATAAAAGTAAATATATAATCTATAATTATAAATTATCAAAAAAATATTATTATTATGAATATAAAATACTTTAAATATAATAAAATAAGATATTATATTAATAATTATACTGAAAAAATTATAAATAATAAATAACTTATAAATCTTGAGATTAATATTATTACAAGCTCTGATAATACTTTTTTTCTGTAATAATTATAATAATTACTAATTTGAAAGTTATTAAATTATTATAGATATAAGATTTATCTTGTTATAATAAGATAATTTATTTTTTAACAGATATATTTTTATTATAATTTTCTTTTTATTATTTAAAAAATTATATCTTTTATTTCTTTATAAATAATATTATATATATTAATATAAAAAAATATATATTATATTTTTATATTAAAAATAAGAAATTTAAATTATTAATATTTTAAAATTAATTAAAATTTTATTTTATCTTTTATTCTTATATGAATTTATTTTTTTACTTATTAAAATAATTAAAAATATTATAAATTATTATTAATATTAGAAATATATCTATTATAAAATAATAAATAATATAAATTATATTTTTCTTATTATTAGAATATTTTAATATTATAAATAAAATTTATATTTTAATTTTTTTGAGTAGGATAGAATTAATTATAATTTAATAAAAATTTAGTAACTTATTTTATTATATTAATTAATTTTTTAGAATAATAATAAATATTATTATAATATGAACTTTTAATAAAGTATTAATTAACTATTTTATTATTAGATACTTTATATCATAATATAATTAGATGATTAATTATTTATATTTTATTAAATATTAATTTAAAAAAATATTATTTGCAAATATTTATAAAAGATTTTATAAATATAATAATTATAATAAAATTATTATAGCAAAGTTAGTAAAATTATTATAATAAAACTATTTTATATATATTTAAAAAATAATTATATAATGAAAAATAGTGATAATTTTATAAAATCTTATATAAATTTGCTAAATAATTACTTTATTATTTGATAAATAACTTTATTTAATTATTTAAAATATAATTATTAAATAAATTATTAAAAATATAATTAAAATTTATTTTTAATTCAATTATAAAAATGAATTTTAATCAGAATTTAATAAAAATTCAGATTTTAGCTGAATTATAATCAGAATTAATTTTTTATAGAAAAATATAACTATAAAGAGATAGAATTATATAATAATTTAATTTTTAATAAATATAATCAAATCTCTTTATAGTTATCATACTTGAAAAAGCAAATTAGATGACTAAAGAGAGATGTGACTATAAAGATTTTTTTAATTAGTAACTGGAAAACTTAAAAATGATAATTATAAAAAAGATAACTATAGAGAGATGTGATTATAAAGAGATCCGACTGTTTATTATATTATTAAATTATTAAATTACATATTAATTTATTATAATTTCAGATATATTATATTATTATAATTTAATATATTTTTTCAAATTTTCAGATTTTTTAGATTTTTTCTGAAAAAGTATTCTAATTGCAGAAAAATTTTTATAATGAAAAAAATCTTATTAAACTATAAATTATAAACTTTAATATAAAGGGAAAAATTTCTATTTTATTAATAAAATTGACCTGATTTTCTAATTGTGAAGCCACTGTATAATTAAAAATCTGAAAAATATATATATTCAGACACTGCAGTGTTGCCGTTTGGCTACAGCCAAACGGTTAAATCGGCCAAAAAGTCAAGTGTCAATGATAAAATCGCAAATTTTTCGAATTTTGTCTCTTATAGCGCAAAAACAAATCAAATTAAGAGCGATCTTGACACGGTAATCTAGCATCTTATTGTGCTTGACTTTTGCATGGCGGCTTCCACTGTAATATCTTGATCTTTCATATGATACATTTATAGAATTTCGTCACCATCAATATTTAACAAAAAACTTTTTAACAAACCCATTAGAAAATGGACAGAAAAGAACTTATGGAAAAATAAGGATGATCATATTCAAGGATTCCCGGGTTCTAGGGTAAAATGATTGTATCTGAAATATAACAAGAAAATCTTGAGTGAACGACAAAGGTTTTTTCAACTGTCAAAAATCCTAACCCACATATAAATTATCGAATTTTTATTATCTTTATCGCCATTCCTTCGATATCCTTATTGTTCCGGAAAGGACATTTCTGGGATTCGTTGGAGAGATGTTGCTAAAACGCATTATTCCATTCAATCTATGTCCTAGGATGGAAGCGCATTCCCAGCGCCTCCCGTCATAATAGCAATATTACCGTATAGAATACCCCGAGTATAGGATAAAATGTATTATCGGCTTTAAATCATATATGTTTTCAAACTTAGAAATTGTTAATATGCCTTATGTTTCTTAATTATTAAATTAAGAAATATTAATAAAAATAAATATTTTTAAAACTGAAACTAATATATAAATTGAACCGCCATTACTTTCCGCCAGAACACATTAACCCAGGCTTATACTTTTTATCATCATCTTGCAGATCTAGTATTTTTACATGATGAATCTTGTTTCCACTAGTGAACTTCCGCATTTGTCTACAGTGGTTTCTAAAGCATTAATAATATTAGCTATTACAAATGTTTATTCAAAGTTCGTGGCGACTGGAAATACCGCGTGCTTTGGTTATAGCCAAGTCTCTCAATAATTTTGATATTCACACTCTAATTTAATTAAAGAGACATCAGGAATGTTATTTCCAAACTTAAATCTATCAATACGCTTGAAGAAGAGTATATTCAATAACTATTCGCCGGGATTTACTAATTTGTCTTTACTCGTTCAGAGCCAATGAGAATTTCTCTAGCGTACGAGATTGATGTGCTGGAAAATGTTTTTCGTCTTAAAACTTGTAAGCTTGAAGTGTCACTTTTTCTTTTCCATCATAAAACAAATAAAAGTGTAGAAACAATTACTAAAATGATGTCCTTGAGAAGATGACTCACAAATGCTGTTTTCCGACAGAATTCAACTTGCAACAGGCGCGTCTTTCGTTAATAGGACTATCAGTAAGAAAGTTTACTCAACCCGCCTGATCATTGTATTGACACCATAAAGCCGAAATTATATTAGATACTTAATATAAATTCGCGCGAGTATCGAGGGCTTTTATATATAATTTCGTGGTTTATGACTGATGGTGGGATATAAATATCTGATCTATTATTAGATTAGTTATATAATTAATTATAAATATGCGTAGATCTAGAAAAATGTACGAGAACATCGTGATAATTAATAAAAATAACGTCATTACACGCGATTATGAAATTCTACTTTTAGAAGTGAATTTCTCATATGACGCCATTTACGATTCCGGGTAAAACCCGTATTATCATAATCATAGAATTTCGGCGTCATTCTTACACATCTGAAAATAATGATCTACATCTACTGCTTTTCCGCTTATTAAAAGTTCCACACTGTCAAAGAAACGAAGTTTGATGATATGATTGGCTACACTTTTCTATCATGATCGTAAAAAAAAAGAAAACGAAAATCGCTGCCTTAAAACGGAATAATCTATTTTTAGAAATTTATTGACATTCTCATTAGTACCACACAATATTCTTTTTAGAATGCATATAATGTATATTATATAGTGTCGTGTATTGTTCTCATATGACGCCATAAACATCACAATAAATAACGTATGACTATGTGTGTATGGTGCAATGGAACAGTTTTTTTTTGAGCTTAGTCAAAATTAGGAAAAACTATTTTATTTTCTATACTCTCTTCAAGCTACAACTTAATAATTTGTATTATATTATTATTATCATTAGGTGAAAAAATTTGAGAAATCTTAAAAAAATAAATGGAAAATAAAAAATAAGGGAGATAATTCTATATATATGTATATGTATGCTTTATATTTTTTTTCTGTACAATTAATTACATGGTTTGTCGAGGAGAAAAGATTTATGCGTAATATTAAGTTCATACTTTATAGTGTTTTATATGGGAAGTAATTTAGCTTGAAGAGAGGTTTATCATAAAAAAAAATTTAATGTTTTTTTTTCTTTTTGCTTATAAGCATTATTTTTATGATTAAAATATTAAATAGGATCAAAAAAAATCATGATGATGATTTATTTCCAAGTGTTCCCTTGGCATGACCACTATTTCCGTGTTTTGCTCTTTCTCGTTTTCCCGCAGCAGTTGTACTTGCTTTTAAAGAATTTCTTGAGGCGACTCCAGCTTTTCCCAGTCTTTTCAAAATTTTATCCTCAACAAGTTGACTTTTGAGATCATCCACAATATTTTTTAACTCGATATTTTCACTTTTCAATTCTTGTACTTGACGACAAAGTAAACCATTTTCCGCGGTTAAAGCACTGATTCGTGAATTTAATTCTGCAATCTGTGTACTCATTTCCTGCGTTTGTTTATGTTTCTTTGCTCGATATTTCGCAGAGGCAACTTTATTTCGCTCACGACGTTCGTGTAACGTCAATGGTGATAGTGGATCATTTAGCTCTTCTTGAGCTCTTGGAGAAGGCGTTGTTGGTGATGCACCATAGAATAAAGGAGAAGGAGGCTGTTGTTGTGTTGGTGTGACTGCGGAATTTGGGGCGGAAGATGAATTTGGTGATAATAATTGATAATTATGAGCTTCCGATACAAAGAGATGTGAGGATGTGTCTGGAATTTGTAAATGTTGAACAAATCGTGGATTTGTTGAATTCATTGGTGTTAATGAAGGAGATGTTGTTGTAATCATTGAAATATTATTATTATTAACATTGGTTGAAATCGAAGGAAGTTGAAATGAAAAAGGTGTCGAAGACAATGATGCTTGGGGATTAGCATCTAGTAATTCATGAACGTTAAGTCTTCTCCCTTCATTTCTTGATGAATTATTTCCATCGGAATGATCTGAACCCGGTGAAGAAACAATAACATTTGGAACAGGGGAACGTGGTGATGTGTAAGACGCCATATTTGAAGAACAAGAACAAAGTAAAGCGAAAAATTTTTTTAATTGTGTATGAAAAAATTGATTAGGTTACTACTACACTGTGAAAAAATTTTTTGACTTTGTTGATGATTGACAACAAATTACAAAAACTCGATTTTTTCTTATTTTTTGTTTCCCTCCGATCTCCGTTTTATTTATAGATTTTTGGATAAATTAGACGCTAAACCATATCGAGTATCGGCTAAACACGACATACTTATGTAACCTTCGTAATAATCCCCCTGTGATACCGGGCCAAGCAAAATTCAAATCCATGCTAGTTTTTTTAATTATAGATATTATAGATATGGTAAATAATATTTTTAAAGTATATATTAAAGAGATTATATAAAAATATACGCTTTTTTTATTATCCTTGACATTACAAAAATTTGAGTATAATTTTTGTCGCTACAATTGAATTTCATTTTGAATATTATCTTTTAATCAAAATTGCCGGCGGCCGAATTTGATTTAAGTCATCGTCGTCATCCCTTATCGTATGAAAAAATCGATACGCATATCCTTGACTAAAAAGTGTGATCCACGCGTTTTCTTATTTCCCTTTTTTCTTATGATCTTGACGCATTTAATCACTGATTTTTGTTTACTTTCTGATAACGCACCGATTCTTCCGTGTAAATGATTGAATGAAGTTGACATGAAATGGTTCACTGAATGCATAAATTTAAGTTTTTATTAAACTTGCAGTTTGCAGAATTGATTTGTTCACACAACATCAACATACAAATTTCACCAGATATAAAATTCAAAAGGTAATAAAATAGTGTTACGTTTCTTAATCATAAGGAATCCGTTTTCTTGACTTGTGGATTCATTAGTGCTTTGGTGATTCCCCTCGATTGTTTCAGAATATTGCTCATCAATTTAATCTCTTTATCGCACCAATATTATTTTTCAATTGAGAATACGAAAATCTTTTTAAAAAATCAGTTTCTTGATGATAAAATCAGCAAAAGAAAAAATACGATTTACATTTGCAATGTTATTTTCGATATAACCACATATCACCATTCTGCGAAGAACATATTTGTGTCACGTTCCAAATTTTGCTTCTATTCAATTTCCAATGATATAATGATGAGCATGATGACATGCACCACAAAAGTTAAATTTAGAACAATTAATAATGTACGATCTTTCTGAAACCAACTAGAAAAATTTGACGAAAAATTTAGATTCTTCTATTATAAATTCAATTACATGAAATTTGTACTGTTCTTTCCTGAGTTTTACGTATTCTTGAAATTGTATATTCTCGATTTTGCAATGTTCTGGATATCTTTTAGTTATTTTCTCCGATCAAGAAGTAATAAATATTTATACTCGTATTTTGCATTTGAATTTTCCACGTATCACACGTAATATGGCGTCATTTAGATACAATTGCAATTAAAATATTTTTGCGAGCATAATTGTTTATATTCGTGCATGCATTTTTCTGTTTAGTAAGCTGAAATGACTTTTTAACTAATGAATTCAAAAATATTGGTGAATTTAAACACATTATTAATAATCATAATCAATGTAGATGATTTGAAACAATACTATGCGTAATCGAAAGTACTCTTTATTGAACAAATAATTTCTTGCCAAATTGCTTTTTCAGGTATAAATAAATGGAAGAAAACAATTAAGGTTTTCACGACTTTTTTCCTTCTTTCCCTCTTGGGGCGTATAAATGAGACTGTTGTGAATTATTGTCATATAGGTTGAGAGATCCCAGGCGATTACACACAGAAATTTTTTTCCTTTATTGATTTTTAAAAAACAGGGATATCATCAACTCTTGTGGCATGTGCTTTTTTTTGAAACGCAGATGTAGACAAAGAAAAAATAAACCAATCGCGGAGATAAGGAGAATTTAAAATAAAGGTACATCTTTTCTGTTTGAGAAATTGGATTTTATACATCTTTGGACAAGAAGTGTGGAAGTTCCGCCATTCCTGTTTGCTACAGGTTACGTGATATTTCAACGCTTCTTATCTTTATCCAAATATCGTATTCTATTAGAAAAAAGCACCACCACACGATCGATGAGTTTGATTCAAAAAAGGGGTGGTTTTTATTCCCCGTACGGCATATTATCACTTATTTATAATTTACTCACTCGGATACGGTAGATCGAAAGATTATATTGCATGAAAATTCGTTATGGTAATTAAATGATTCACATCATTTATATTTGATCGCCAAATTTTTACTTGATACGCGAATGAATAATGAATAATGGTATTTGGCAATTGAAAAAAATATTCCCGAATTCACATATTCAATCATTCAATCCATATAAGGAAAAGACACATTAATTACATAATTGAAATAAAAAAGTACAACACATTTTAAAAATTTTTCCAAGGTTCCACATTTCTATGCAGAAAGTCTTCTTCTACATATCTTAAATGCACCAATCACACTCGTGTTCGTATATGCAAATTAAAAATAGCAATGAAAACAGGAATTTTACTTATTTGTGTCTCAAAATACCTTTTTTATTTTTTATATAACTCCTTTTTGGGACACATTGATCTTTATGATGTAACTTAGCATATTTTTTTTGAAGCTCGCACGCAAAGAGAATTAAGCTTACATTAGAATTTATTTCAGTGTAATGCTTGGCGGGATGCTGGATTTTTGAATAATACGAAAAAATGCTTGGCTGACAATTGTGTATGCCTGAAATGTTGTGCGGAATTTAATCAATTAGATCGTAACCGTTCAAGAAAAGAATTTTTATTTATTCTCGATTTATGGAAATCACGCCTATTTATTTTGCAGATTTTTAAGGTATATTTTGCATATGTGAATCTCTTCATTGATGTTTCATGATAATACCACATAGCGTAATTAGACTTTATTAGGTCCTCGAATTTTAATTGATTCTTAAATTTGCATTCAGAATGTTCGTAAGTTACAAAATTAGGTAATTACGTAAAATAAGCATAGTTTTCGCATAAATATGTGATACAGGCATGTCATGAATTAAAAAATTATTTAAAAAAGCATCTAATAAAGCGCCTATTTGGTAGATTGGTCTTTTTTACATATTCCCGCTTTGAAATGGCATATTGAAAGTAACACATAAGGTACATAATTACTCTTGATCTCGTAAACCGACTGGCTGAATTTATTATTTCGGAGATTAGTTCGCTTATATAACAAAATTCATTGACATGAGCCTAGAAATATTACTTGTCACAGGGCAAACACGTTATATCGAGAGTCACAATTGGGAGAATATTCAAATTTGGTCTTTTAATATTCAGAGAGAATTAAATTCATCTAAAAATTGTACATTATCATTAAAAGATGTAGCAGGACACAAATGGGCTTTCATCGATTGTTTCTATGAATCATTTTGTAATGTTATTTACATATATACTTTTAAAGGTAATACAAATAAATTTCACCCGATTCCAAAGATAACGGCGGGCTTTAGTTAAGAGAACATTTTTTATTATTGCGTACAAGCGCCTAAATAACCGAGCAATTGAATAAATGGGACTTTGCTGTGTATTAAAAAATCAACGATCATATGATATTAATAAGTTTGATATTTTCGATCAACATTTTTAATCTTACCCCTCAGCACCAGCTAACTCTGGTCGTACTTTATCCTAATTTTAACAAAAATATTCCTCATTTACTATGTGTGGATAAAAAATATCTACAAGCCATTTAAAACTGTGAAGTGATAAAATGATGGAAAAAAATTTTAAATTCGCAAAGAATATTAATATGTGATCCTAACCTAACAACATCACAAATTCTGACATTTAAAATCTCGACATTTCAAAATCAAAAATTAGAATTAGAACTAGGGTTAGGGCAAGTTTTAATGCTGTAAGTTAACAGTTAAATTAGTGTAGGCCGATGAGTTATTGATTTTTAAATGTCATGGATGTTTGAATATTAGTATTCTTTTCGAATTTGAGCTATCTTTCCATCGTTTTATCGCTTCACAGTTTTGAACGTCGTATACTTTATTCATAAACGTGAATGAATTTGGAATTGGTCCAAATTAGAATAAAAGTGCAACTAGAGTTAGAATAAGGGCTAGTGCTGGGTGGATAATATTAATGTTGGCCGAATGATTCTTCCGTTCCTATGTCATATAAAATTTTACAGTAGCAATAACGATATTCTACTTTATTGCTAAGAAATCCGCGGATTGCATACTTATTTTTTTCTATTATTTCTATAATGCGATAGTATCCCATACAGGTGTTCTTATAAATCCAGCATTAACCTCTCCACACATTTTCAATTGGACTAAAAATCCGATAATTATGGTGGTCATTCATTCCATTATCAAAATTCCAAGATTATCCTTCCATATTTTTTCTAAACTCTTATGTGATAGAACATGAACTAAATTGTATCCATTTATGCTTCACCAGATAATAATAGACTTGCGTCCTCTTTTAATAGTTAAAGCTTATCTTTATGGATGTATCTGTATTAATAGACTCATCAGTCCCACATGTCTGGTTTTTTAGCATTTATTTCATTAATCATTTGGTTTTTTACATGGCGCACGTATTTCAGCAGCAAGCAGGTTGGATTTGTTTTAATTTCCGGATTTTCGGCCACTATTTTTTTCTTTCTCCATTAGTAAAATCTTTTTAGTAAAAATAGGAAATTAAACAAACGAATATCTTTGGTTAGCATATAATAACATGCAGATTTACCTTTAAAAGTATATACGCAAATAACATTACAAAATAATTTACGGAAACCACGATACATGCCCTTCTAATGATTCAATTTCCTCTGAATATAAAAAGACCAGATTTGAATATTCTCGAGTGTCATAAGCTCTTTTTACATGGGACTTGTATAGACATACTTCAAAATTACGAGTTTGGATTATGCAAATTATCAAATTTGGAGCTGTCAACTACAATAAAAGAAGCTTGATAGACCGAAATGATCGGGACTATTAATGCTGCATGTTATGAATTATTCACTCAAATAGAATTGATCGATTAAGTGACTCGTGAATTTCAAATAGACTAATCAGATCTCTCATTTATTTTCAAAGAAACAAAATATTATGTACAGAAAAACAAGTTTTTAAAACAAATAAATAATTAAAGGAATTTGCCAAATTAAAATAGGGGTATGCCTGAAGTTAGAGTAAAAATTAGTGTTTTAGACTCGTCCATCAAAAAAAAAATATCAAAAGAACAAAAAGATTAAGAGAGAAGTGAGAGATTAAATAACACTCTGTTTAACAACTTTAACAAATCCAACAACCGGTCGAACATATAATGTATGGAACACGGTGCTTGCAATTCCAACCGTTTTATACAAGGGGTTGACGACTAATGTTTTTACCAGAGTGGTAGTGTATGTTGTGGTTGTATCTTGTTCTGAGGTTAATGTCAACGCACCGGCGCCGTCTTCACCAACTTCTGAGGTTGTGAATTCAATTGTGTTGTGCGGAAGTTCTTGATAGTGAAAAAATGAATGTTGATCTTTGGATAGAAGTAATTTTTGACTTTTACGTCTATATTTAAAGAAAATGAATATTAGTATAAAAAATATATTTGATATTACAAAAATAATTAAATACTCACAAATCTCCAATAACTTGTCGTAATTCATCCAATTCATTTCGTTGAGCATCTAATTTCGATTCAAGACGTTGAATAGTTTCTTGCATACGCGTTGTGTACATGTTATCCATTTCCTCACGTTGTTCATTAACTTTCGATTCAAGACGATTCATTGTCTTTTCCATTCTTTCGGCCAATTCCAATTGTCGAATTATTACCGTTTCCATGGTAGAGAGTTTTGTTTGTTCCGTTTGTGGAGAGATTTTAGTTTCAAGTGTTGTGGTATTCGAGAAAGAACTGTTCTTCGTTTCAAATTCTTGAGGCTATTTTAAAAAGATCAGGATTCGAATCTTAGAATTGAAGTTGAGAAAATAAATAAACATAATAATATTCATCTTACCTTCTCTGTTTCAACATCTTCGACAAGTTCACCACCGTTTGCACTAGAATTTTCAGTGAACTTTGATTCATCGGCATTAGCTTCGCTTTTATCTTGTTCTTCTCCATGATTAGCTTCCTCAGAAAGAGGTTCAGTATCTTCAATTGCATCTGGTATTCTTTTTTCCACGCCTTGTTTCCAATTCTTGTCCCAACGAGGCGATGGCGTTTCATTTTCAACATCCTCATCCTCCAACATATTGATATTTTGCTTGTTAGATTCAACGATTGGGGATTCAGGAATTAATGATGTTGAAGGTGCAGCTGTTTCAATGATTGAAGCAGTAGCAGTGGATGTAGTAGAGGCGATCGATGCAATCGAACCATTGGAAATACGACGCTGTTTTTTCTGTTCCTTCTCAAATTGATGATCAGGAATTTGGTGGGATTCTTGTCCAACATAATCAGCTGGATTTAGTGGAGTTTGTGGACTAGCAATTTCTTCTTTTGTTGGAGAATCGACGATGTGTTTATCAATTAATTGCGGTTGACTAATTGATCGTTTCGTTTTAGGCGAAGGAGATGATGTTGGCATTTGGCTATCAAGCAAATCACTAATATTTAAACTAAGACGTTTTCTTTGCATGATTTTTGCTTCGTCTTTAACATCGTATTCACCTAAATTAAGGGAGCGTCTTTTTCGTTGTTTTGCTCTTGGACTATTTTCATCATCCGAGAATCCGAAGAAATCAGAAAATAAAGTTCTACGTTTTTTATTCTTTTCTTTATTATTACTACTACTGCTTTTACTACGTATGCGACGTCGTTGTCCGTTAATATCATTTTCGTCGTTATATTCATCATCATTTTGATGTGCGTAATCTTCTGTATCGGAAAAACTGAACATTTCCGAAAAAATAAAACTACGACGATTTTTCTTTTGTTTCTCGTCGTCATTTGATTTATTACGCGTTGTTATACGACGAGTATTATTATTGACTGAAACTTTTCTCTCCTTATGAAACATATCGGCAAAACGACGTCGGTCTTTAGGTTGCTTCGGGGAATGAGGTGAAGCATTTGCTGAAAGTTCTTTATCTTCCTTTGATGAGAATACGGCTGGAAGACGAAAACTTCGTTTTTTATGAGTGGGTTTTTGATTTGATTTTTCTTCTTGATTTTCTCCACCATTGTTAGTACTATTATTGTGGTTGTTTTTATCGCTAGATGCTGTTTTTGATGATGAGGAGATTGAGGATGACGATGAAATTGAAGAAATTTCGGTTTGTGTCGTTTGTGTAGAATATGTAGTATATGATACTACATTGTTGGGTTGTTCTTTAGCATCTAATACAAGATTTCCGTTTGATGCCATTTTGTATAAGATTTAGATAATAATAATAATAATAATAATTACTATTATTAACAAAAATCTTGAAATCGGATAAGATAATAAAGCAGTTCACTGAGATTTTTTCGTTCTTATATAAGAAAAAGAGGAGGAAAAACTGGATTGGCTTGGTGATTATCAATTCAATGATTTATCCTTAAATTAGTTGTTTGTGTATATTTTATTTGTATTAGTGTGTGAGAGAGGAGATGACATGCTCGGACGTAATACGCCCGTGTATATGCTGTTTATCTTAGTGTGTATGATTTAAGTGCCCGTGCGATGGGAAAAAAGTAATCAATGTTTGACAAGGAACACTAAAAATTATTAAGAAAAGACCAATCTAAGTAGGTCAACTATATGATTCTAATTTCACCTTGTCCGTGCTATTTACTCGTGAAGTTTGCTTTGAGCAATGCGGGATTATGTAGATGAATGGAATAGATGTCTAAAAGCCATTCTCGGCCACAGAGTATACATCGCACCGCATACATGTTTTACTCACTCGTTCTCTCTCTCTCTCTCTCTCTCTCTCTCTCTCTCTCTCTCTCTCTCTCTATAAAGCAACCGAGCAATATAAAACCAGAGATCTAGAGATAAAAGATAATTTCTAATTGTCTATTTTCAATCATTTTCGTACACATTGTTGTTTTTAATTTGTTATCGGTAGTATTATTATATTATTTATGTGCATGTATGCGTGTATGCATCTGATTAACTTTTAAGCATAAAGTCGGTTATTTCTTTTCAGGTGGAGTAAACAAGCGTGCCAAGTAAAGAAAAAGTTAATGCTAAAAACCAATAGTCAATAAATTTTAATAAATTTGCATATAAATGCAAAATTTTACGACATTAGAATCCAGAAGAAATTAATGAACTGCAGTTTTAATTTTTTTGCTGAAATTAATTAGATCCAAAGGCGCAAACTGAATTAGTTGATCACTTTCTTCTGGAAATTTGCTTGCATATTGCAAAATGAAATCAATTTGGAACAAAAAAAGAAAGGCCGTTTTTTTTTCTCTGAGAAATAATAACAACAACAACAATAATAATAGATACAATAATAGATTTAAATTGGCATATAATGAGAAAAAACTTGTATCGGAACTGGATAAACCGAATAAATTTGTAAATGCAAAATAATTAATCATATTGCAGATTAAAAGAAAGGAAATTTCTTTAAATATGCCAGGTTTTATTTGATGCTTTTACTAATAACTAACTGAAATTTAAATATCGATGATATATTTACTTTGTACTCTATATCGTCGAAAATCTGTAAGATGTTTTTGCAATATTAATTTACAACGTGGAAGTCCTATCTCTATATCACAATACACATATTCGATAAAAAGTATTTTTCTATATTTGTTGCACAAATCCCCCTTTGTCGTGTCTATCGCTATCGCTGTCAAAGTAAACAAAATTTACGCCCCTTCCATTAAAGGTATCACTATAAAACTAATCTTGAATAGGAATGGGGTCATATGAGAACAATAATGTTATTGCGAGTTTCTTATTTCTTCTCAATATTACGTCGTGAGAAAAACCTTAATTTCGTGAATAAATGTTGGCAAATAGACAATGGCGATTTTTACCTGTAGATTTAATCATTGTGAATCTTTTCAACTGGATTAACATTTATTTTGCCCTACATGAAAATCTCACTTTATTATGGATTATTAATTTAGTATCATGAACAAATGCATATCTGTATCTTTTTCATGTCCGTGCATAGTGATGATAATGATTGAGAGATTGATAGTGATATTAATTAATTCCATTCGCCTGTTGCGTTTGACAGAATCATTGCCTATTTATTATTTATTATCTTTGCGAAACTTTTGTGCTCGTAAACCCATGTGAAAATTTTGTTCTTTTCCTTTTGTTGTCTACGATTAATAAAAAAGAGATCTCTCGAGAAAAGTTTTAGAATTACACAATTAAAAAAATTTATTTTTTTTTCTAATTTTGTTACTTCGAAAATGGTCACATATACATATGAGGCGATCCAACAGGTATGTAATGAAAGGAAAGTGTTTTACTTTTACATTTTATAGATTCCAAGGTTTATTGCACAATCATTATAAATGTCTGTTTTCTATTAACTATTGAATTTAATAGCGTAATTGGGTTTCTTGAGACATTTGATCGGTTGTGGTTACAATCCATTGAGCTATTAACGAAGCCTTGATCATGAATTAATAAACAAATTTACATAAAAAGTTGTCATCATCGATTAAAGAAGTGCTATTTTTACGTTCTTAACTGAAAAATAAAATATTTATTTTGGTCATTCTATGCTATGATAAATCTTTAAATCATTCTTTTTCACTGATCTCCCTACTCTTGCACGCTGTGAAAGGTAAAAAAAAACCTAAGTACCGTATTCTTCCGGAAACAAGCGCCATTATAAATAAGCACCACGCATCCCATGCATGCACGAGAATTGTGGTACCGGCAATGCAATAATTTTTTTTTGAGCCAGGCCAGGATAATTGTGGGTTTAGGGCGGGATGCGAATCTTCCTTATATATAGCACTAATTCAGGATGAACCTGGTAGATATTCAAGAAACTTTAGAAATAAGTCCCAAAAAAAAAACCAGCAGTCAAGTGACGCTTATTTCCGGGAGGATACGATATTTTCAAGCATCAAACTCCAGCGAAGATTACATTACATAGATTGACCAGCATATCGTCGATTTTTGATTTACATGATCTATCAAAAAAAAGAGACAAGCAATTACTAAAAATGCACAAAAGACAACGTGAACTTCCAAGCACCTCAACCGCTATTCCAGAAAATGCGACTTCGAGACCTTTTGCAATAAACCCTCAAACAGATGCCCAAACCAACACGCCAACTCGTGTTAAATCTAAATTACCGAATAGAACGACAAAGACCTCACAGAAACTCACTCTTTTCCCCGAGGAACGACCACAAGTCGAAGAAGTGGGTGAAACTTATGATCAAATAGATAAGATCCCTGAAGGAACTGCGCGAATTGACGCTGAAAAATTCACGAGCGAAGAACGAGATAAGCTCCCTCGTGTTACGGCTTATTGCACTGCTTCGTAAGAAGCCTCCATGTAGTTATTTATATTGGCTTTAACTTTAAAAATAATATCTCTTACACGCGGTCTATCTTTTAGAGCTTATCAATTAGATGATTTGATGAAACATCTTCAATCGTGTCGAATTCAGAATAGCACTGCACCAAAACGCATGGATGAATGGTAAATTTTGATAGAAGCTTGAAAAAAAATTCGATCTCCTTCAATTAAAGAGTTTCTCGATTGTTGTTTTTTTTTTTTTTTTTTAGTATATATAGTCCTTTTTCTTTTCAGCCACCAGAATCTCCACCTACAGCAAATCTTTTAGGAATCGAAAACCCCGAAATGTCATCGCCATTTGACTATACTATACCAGAAGCGTGTATCTTTGAGTATGGTGTAGTTGTGATATGGGGTATGACTGAACAAGAAGAACAAAAGCTATTGCGTGAATTGATGCCCTTTGAAGAAGATCGACTTGGTAAATGTGTTGTATTAATTTTTCTAATTTTGATGTTTTATCTTATCAGAAGTCTATTAATTCAAATCTAATAGCCACCGAGGATATTGTAACTGAAGAGTTCCATTATCACTATGCTGCTTCTTATCAGCCCAGGTAATTTGTTATTATATATACGAAACCATTTTATTTCCATGTATTCTTAATGTTTCTTTGAACTTCTCAGGATCTATAATGATGTCATAACCTTAAAGAATCCCGGAAACTTTATGATAAAACTAACAATTTCTCATGCTGTCGCTCAATCTGTAAAAATGACCTTTTTTGAAGAGTTGATCGAAGATACAATCGAGTCTACAAAACATATACCAAAAACTATGGCCGAGACTGGTAGTGTTCAAATGTCAAGGTCAGCACATATATATTTTATACATTTTGATCAAGATTGTTTACTTTTTTTTTACATCTCGTATCTTTTATTTAGAACTGCCATAACCAAAAAAATTGGCCGGGTAATTAATTATTCTTAAATGCTATTAATTAGTTAATTAATTAATTAAGTCGGTGTCATCTTTTACACTTCTAAAATTACCGTTTTTTTCTTTTACTTAATAGTTATTTATTATGAGAATCAATATCAATTTGGTGAGTAACATCTTGGATACTCCAGAAATTTTCTGGTCCGAACCTGCATATGAGGAGCTGTATAAGGCTATAAGAGGTGATTAAACAAACGCATCAAGTTTTCATTTTATAAAATACAATAAAGGGACAATCAATACAATAACATTACACAATAGGTTACTTGGAGATTTCGCATCGTGTAGAGCTCCTAAACCAGCGAGTCGGCGTGATAAGTAAGAGAAGCACTTTACTGCCTAGATTCTTATTATATACATATTAATTAATTAAGTTTTATTTTGTAGGTGATCTTTTGGATATGTTGAAAGATCACTTGACCAGCACTCATGGTATGTATATTTATTGTCGTTTATCCCGTTTAAATTTAAATAATTGAATTTTAATAATACATAAATTTTATCAGGCGAACAATTAGAATGGATCATTATCGTTTTAATCGGTAAGTTAAAACCAAAGGTCAACTCTTGCTGCTAGGAAAATAAAATATTTCCAATTAACGTTAATGTTTATTAAATAGTTGTGGAAATTTTCGTCGGTTTGATGACTATTTTCATAGAATCTCTTTCATACTCTCTAAAAAAAGGTACACCCTAAATTATAATATAGACACGTCACCATATATATATTATTTCTCTGATTTGTAAGATTGTGTATTAATATTTAATTTTGCATAAGAAACATTTGATTGTATATATGTATGAGCTGAATAACGCACTGAATATCAAATATTTGATTTTTAACTATAGAAACGGTAACTTGATTAAAAGAATTATTTAATTACATATTTTATTTCCCTTCTTATAAAATTTATAAAAGATAAGTATATATATTGTAACAAGATTTTGAAATCAAAACAAATAATTAAGCAAACATTTATATTAAAGAAAAACCTATTTTAACCATTATTATTTTGCAATTGAAGCTGTTGTTGGTTCAATTTCAGTTCAAGGTCTTTCATTTGTAACTCAAGTTGCAGCTTTATTATACGAAAATGCTCGAGATCCAAATTCAGCTTTTTTTGTGTATTTTCTGCGTTTATCTTTTCAACCTCGATTTTTTTATTTTGTATTTCAAATTCGTGTTTCATCCGTTCTTTTTCTATCTGAAAGTCGTATTGCATTTTGTCCTTTTTTAGGTTATTTTGGATCTCCAATTCACGTCGTTCTGCTGCAAGTTTTTCCTTTAAATATGTCTCAAGCCAATCTGATGAACTGGTGTTTACATGTCTAATAATTGGTGGTTGTATAATTCGAGATGGGGAATTACTATTACCAGACTTCGTAGATGCATTAGTAGTAAAATCATCAAGGTTATTGATGACTGGCGGATTGACAGCAGAAGCGATGGCAATATTGGAGGTAGTGTGTGATGTTAGTGGTAGTGATTGTGGTGGCTGTGATTGTGATGATTGTGGTACTATTTGTGATGATTGAGTTAGACGTTTCCTCCTTTTTACTGGGCGTTTATTTTCTTCAGAATCATCAGAAGATTCTACGCCGGTATGATTATTGTTGTTAGTAGGCTTGGGATCACCCATTATTAATAGATTATTCTGTGGAGTATGTCCATGTTGGCCAAATACTTGATCCATCCGTGCGTACCAGGCCCAATTCGGCGCAGTCCCACCAGAAGCTTTTTGCGTGCGAATTTTGTGATATTTTGCGAGGAGCTTATGTACCTTGTTCTTAACCTGCGTTGGATTTCTATTCTTTAAAACTTCACTGATTAGTTGTTTATAGAATTTCGTTTTGTTTCCCGAAAACCAAGCGTGATAATTTTGATCTATGTAATTCAGCAAATTTGTCGTCTCGTTAGAACTCCACATTATGTCCTCCTCAATTTCCGTACCATTCGCTTCAGATATCACGGATAATGTTTCGAGGCCTGTCTCTCTGCCATTATTATTATTAT